CAGCGCTTCGGAGAAGCTTCCAGACGCGCGGGGTTGTCCCGCGGCCGCCTCACGCCGCAGCCCCGGGTGCCGCCTGGCGTCGCCGGCGGGAAGCTCCTCTGGGGGAGGGCAGAGCCGCCTGTAACGAACCGCTCACTGAGGTAACCGCAGGGCCTGGGTCCTTCTAGCGACTCTCCCTTTCTCGTAACTCACGTGAAAACAGTTACTTGTGCGCCCAGCGCTTGGGTATTTTTTTCTCCGTTAAGCGGTTGCTTGTTTGCCACGAGGCGGTGCTCGCTTGGAGTGCGGCTCTGTTGCTGTGGCTGTGTTTTGGGCATGTGCTTTCCTCTGCCCTTCCTTCTTCCTTTTTGGAATTTACCTGCTTTCTTTCCTTTGACTAGCATAGCGTATCGTCGTGTCATTCGTGTCTATCAGTATGAAGTTGGGGATGATCTATCTGGAAGGTTTTTTTTCCTTGTATTTTCTTACCTCACTTTTGGTTTTTCAAATGCACTCTTAATTCCAAGGCTCGCTTTCCTTCCGACTAACTCTCACTGCTTAGAGATGCTTGGAGGTTTGTGTCCCCCTCCGTGGCTGGCTCCCAGCCTCCTGCTCGGGGCCGCGGGGCTGCGTTTCGGCTGCTTAAACTGCGCCTGAGCCTTAACCCTGGGGCTGAGAAACACCCAAGTGTTTGATGCGTTTTCATTGCTACAGAGTGATTCAGCACTTGAAACCTCTCTCAAGAAGCACAGGAGCCTTTAGGAGGAGGATGAAAGGTTTTGGTGGGGATGAGAACCTGGGTTTAGTGACAGGGGTTTGAGTCCCCAAGGGTCACAAAGCAGCAGCACAGCCCGTCTCTGCAGCGCCCACGCTTGATGCCTGTGCACAGGGCATTTAGTATCAGCTCTCACCATAATCAAGCACGGAGGTTCTTACAAAGCTGCTGCTGAGCATTGCTTAGGATCCAAGGGCATAGAGTCAGCATCCAGAGGCCTTCTGCAAGGAGTCCCTCAAGGTGCATTTTGGCGGCTGTGACCATGGTGATTTTTACCCACTCGCGTTGGGGCTGCTGTGCCCACGTAGGCCCACATGGGGTCAGGGCCGCTGCCTCAGCGTCTCTGAGCGCAGGACGGGAGAGACGGGGAGGGAAAAACAAGGAATATCCACTGCCCAGCAGTGTAGTGCGGGTCTCCAGCTTCCTGTAGTGATTATGCCGTATTAGGATCACATCTGAACCAAACTAGTAGTTTTCAAGAAATCTTTTTCCCCTATTTCCCCTCTCTTTTAGAGCTCTTGTATCCCACCAGCAAATACAGCTCCAGTGAATCACCTGTAGTTTGTGTGTGCGTGTGTGTGTTGAGCACAGTGGAGTGGGGCAGGACTACACCAAGTTCCTAATTTTGTTGGGTCTGATGCAGTAGGTGCTTTGGATTTGGCATGAAGTGTGGCTACTGATCGTGTTGCCTTTCAAACGGGGCTAGAAATTAACTCTGTAGAGCAATGAGGCCTAAAGATGTACGTACATCTGCCTTACTTAGGATGAGTCAGAATCAAAACACAAAACCAGCATTAACATATGTACAGGAGAAACGTACTGCAGTGAGAAGGACTGTTAATTTCGAGCCCCACGTGCTGTTTTGGGCAGCAGAAGAGCTCGTTCTCACTGTGACTCTATGTTTAGGTCCTGTATGGTGGAGGAGTCGGGAACGCTGGAATCGCAGCTGGAAGCTACTAAGGTAAGCAGTGCTCACCTGGGGTTAAATGCTTTTCCCAAGAGCTACCGGGGACCATGCAGGGAGGAAGGAAGTATATGTAACTATATGGTAAAATTCTGAAATGATAGGGTTTTGAATACCACTGGGATTATCTGTTCACATATCAGATGTCTACTTGTATCTCAAGCCATTAAATAGCACTCTATCATAGTTTTTCTTCTTCCTTTCTAAATGACGGCGTAGAGCAGGAAGGATACAGTATTTTGAGTTTTTTTCCTAATAGAATGTATTTTTCCTCAAGAACACAGATCCTGTTGGTTTCCAATAACACAATGAAGATTATATGTTGAGTATTGTTTTCCAGATCCCAGTAAATATGTGTAAATTTGTAATTCCTGCAGACAAAAGGAATAGTGTAATAAAAAGAGCGCACGGGCTGTTTCTGCTCAGCCCATCAAGGATGTTATTCCTTGATAACATCCTGTTGCTCTCCTAATAAACAGCGCAAGCACCAGGAGATTCGAGCGATGAGGAGCCAGCTGAAGAAGATCGAGGACCTTGGAGCAGCCATGGAAGAGGCACTTATCCTGGACAACAAATACACGGAGCACAGCACCGTGGGGCTGGCGCAGCAGTGGGACCAGCTGGACCAGCTGGGAATGCGGATGCAGCACAACCTGGAGCAGCAGATCCAAGCCCGGTACTGCCTGCCCGCTGCGTGGTGTGAAGCGTGTCCAGCGCAGGCGCGGGGGGACGGATGACGCGCACGTTCGTCTAAAAGTCAAAGCTCCGCGCGGTCTGTGCTGGTGCATCTGCTGTGGGCTGACTAGACCGGGAAGTGTAGAGGGCATCTCCCGACCCCCTTGGAGGGGCGCCCTTGGGAGCTTGGGGAGTGGTTGTGTTGGCGATCAGCAGTTAGGAGATCATGGAAAACTGGTGCTTGCGCTGAGCTGTGGTTGATGATGCAGCGTGCTGTCCGACCAGTGGTTCTCCCCTTGTGATGCAGATGTCTGGCTTGGGGCAGATCGACACCAGTGCTGGTCTGGGGTTAGGACCCGCTCACTAGTTTTGCTTCTTCCCTTTCAGAAACACAACTGGAGTCACCGAGGAGGCCCTGAAGGAGTTCAGCATGATGTTCAAGTGAGTCGCAGGGAAAGCCAGGGCAGGCTTGAGATACCTCTGGCACACGGATGGCTCGATTCACAGCTAGGATTATCTGACTGATCCCTTTGCGGCTCCTTTTCTGTCGGCTCACATTTGTGCTGAGCTGCCCTGATCTCTGGAGCCTCCAGCTGCCCTTGCTGCTGGCTGGTACAGCCGCCCCGGAGGCTCCGCTGGGCGTGCTCGGTTGTGGGCACAGGGGTGCAGGAACCATCTGTGTCCAGGTATCTCAGCTAGGGGATACAGCTGGGTTTCACTGCTCATTAAGCAACATAAAGAGCTTGTGTCTTACACGTGTAAGAACAGGAGTTATCATCTCTTCCAGTTTTCAGCCCTCTACGTAGCTTTCAGTCAGTTACTACAAAGATTTGACACTTAAAACACAAGTTTTTGTTTTTAGGCACTTTGACAAGGATAAATCTGGACGCCTTAATCACCAGGAGTTTAAGTCTTGCTTGCGCTCTCTTGGATACGACCTTCCTATGGTTGAGGAAGGAGAGCCGGATCCGGAGTTCGAGTCTATTCTTGACACCGTAGATCCTAACCGGTACGTGGGTGGGGAGGTTTTATTTTTCTGTTGCAGAATGTTTGTATCGGTATTGTCTGTGTTTTGGGCAGCTTGTTACTGCTGTGGTTGTTTTCCTACCAATTCATGTAAAGGGTCTCTGAATGCAAGACCGACATTTGTGAAATTTATTTTAGGAAACGGAGCTGATGATAAGTCTCCTCTGTTAGACTTTCCACTGCTCCCAGCACAGCTAAATCTGCTCCCAGAAGGTTAGGTCTGGAATGTTTTCTGCTGGGTATTACTGGGTGGCAGCGCTCACGTGCCCTTTGTTTCACCGGCAGGGATGGACACGTCTCGCTGCAGGAGTACATGGCGTTCATGATCAGCAGGGAAACTGAGAATGTGAAATCCAGCGAGGAGATTGAGAGCGCTTTCCGAGCCCTCAGCTCAGAGGGGAAGCCCTATGTGACCAAGGAGGAACTCTACCAAGTGAGTATCCAAGTGGCTGCTCTCTGGTCACAAGTTCTGCTCGCAAAGACCAGCCCTTGTCTGGTGCTGGGAGGGTCGGGTCACTGTGGCTGTCGGCTCTGAATGTGCAGAGGTGTCTCCTGCAACCAGGGCAGAAGTGATGGTGGAGGCTGCACCCAGCTGCCGCGTGCCTCTAGGAGAGGAAAAGCTTCAACTGACAGATAACTATTCGGGTTAAAGTGGGTTTGTTTTTTTAAAAAAAGACTACTCAGAGGCCTGGGAAGGGAGTGTGTTCACAGCCTCTGTCCTCAGAAACTTTTACTTTCCTCTGTTTGGGAGACTAGATGAATCCCTTTCTCCAAACAGTGATTCAGAGGAGGAATTTAGGTACCTAAGCTTGGACAGGATGAACACCTCCTCCCTCTCATTTCCCTGCCAAGACAGCAAGTTTTTCCTGTCTGAATCCCACTGGTTGGCAGAGAAATAAAGAGGTGGTTCTCCTTCCTCATGTGCATTACCTGTTCTGTCTTCTCCTTGGTGGGAAGACTCGGGTCAGCCCTTCCAGCCTTTAACTAACAGCACAGACCAGCAGCCAGAAGGGTTCTTTGCCAGCCCTAGCTCTGGTGCTGCAGCTTCTGCTCCCAGGTGCCTCCAGGAAAGGGAGGGCTGTTTGAAAATGCTCCAGCTGCAGCCACAAAGTGCCTGTCTCCACCTCGGCGCTGTCTTTGTCTTTCAGAACCTGACCCGGGAACAAGCCGATTACTGCATTTCTCACATGAAGCCCTACATGGACGGCAAGGGCAGAGAACTTCCTTCCTCCTTCGACTACATAGAATTTACACGTTCACTTTTTGTGAATTGATACAAAACACTAGTTCCAAAAGATGCAAAGAACACGCTTACGTTTGCCGACTATAGCTCTGCATGCGTCTCTCTTTGTGCTCTACAATAATCAATGTTACTTTATGATGTAACCTAAACAGCTTAGCTTAAACTCTCCTAGGGAAAATGAACATATTGCAGTGTGCTTCAATAAAAGTTATTGGTCCAAATACATCATCTTGTGTTTAATAGCTAAATACAAATTCAACTGTTATTTGAATGAAACGCCTGCTGTCAAAAATAGGTGTGTTTTGCAGTTGGACTCTATGGATGAGGTAAACGGGCAGCTTTTTCTGGAGTCAGAGTTGGAAGAGGCTTCCAGCACCCGGTTACGTTGCTCTTTCAGTCGGTGACCTCGCTTGCCAGCTGCTCCAGGTGCTTCATTTCCCTGGGTCCCTGCTCCGTGAAGTCAGAACTGAGCTGCCAGACTTTGACGGCACCGGTGGCGTCTCCTGCTGCCAAGAGCTGAGGCTGCCGGAGGTTGAATTCCAAACAGTAGACAGGGCTCTCGCCTGGGGTCTGCTTTATGGAAACGGCAGCTTTCTGGGTACTCTTCTCCAAGTCAAACAGCTGCACCTCTCCTTTAAAACAAATACGTGTCACACCTCCTGCTGTAACACCTTTTGTATTGAAGAACTGCACCTTAGAAAATCCTTAGTGTGGCACCTGTAGCTGTTGCCCCTTCTCTCTGTCTAGACTGACACTTGCCATCGTGCCAAGACAGCACAGACTTCTCCTTCCACTGGCAGGGCTTTGGCAGGCTCGTTTCAGCTCTGAAATATCCACCCCTTAACCCAAATATAGTTGGGGCAGTTTCCTGAGGTCATGTTTAAAACAGTAGTAAAAAAAAAAAATGCCAAAAACAAGAAAGCTGGAACTAAGAATTAGCTACAGTAATCTTGCCATGCTACATCACACACCTGCCAGGGAACTGTTCTGGCCACAGCAATAACGGTGTGATGAAAACAGCCATAACTGCTGCCGAAGTCCTGGGGAGCTGGGAGTGACCCCAGCGTGCTCAGGGTATGGTACCAACAATGGTGACTGTTCTCAGGGGAAATGCTAATCAGAGTAATTGACTTGTATTAATTAAAAAACAGCCCAAAACTTTAACCTTCTCTCTAAGACCAGGTTCCTTACAGCTACTTGCCTTCCCCAGAAGCTGCTGCGAAGACCAGTGGTCGCACTGGAGACCAGCATACACAGAAGAGGTATTTTTTTGATAACTGAACAGAAATGAGGGGCTGCGCCTGCAGCAGGGAATGTAAGTGAACGTGTCCATCAGTCCCACAGCTCAGAAAGAGATTCCTGGAAAACATAAGCATTTCATAGGCTGTAGTATAAAGTAAAACACTCTAGAAGGAGGGTCTAGGCCCATGTTACTGTTTTTTAGGTGTGTCTTAGCGATTCCCAAGCTCTGCTCTGGGCCCTGGCCTGCAGCTGCTCTGCAGAAGCAGAGCTTTGTTAGTGCTTTCAATTAAGTTTAATGAGGGCTCCTGTTGTCTGCTGAGTATTGATGTTTGTGGGCCAGAGATGCCTGGGAGCTGCTGATCTAGAGCGAGCCCTTGTTGGCTGTGCCTGTCTGAGGCAAATCAAATGTGGGTGCTGGGTAAACTGCAGCTAGAGACTTCTACTTCAAACTTGGGCGGCTGTGAGTAAGGCCTGTGAAGGGCACATCACTTCTGTGCTGATGAAATAATCTGCTGTTCTTCAGCACCTTCCCTTTACTTGAAATTGCTCTTTGGTATTAACATAACTTGAAGGATCTTAAAGGAAAGTGCTATGGTCTACATGGGCCTGAGTGGAGACAGTATCTGATGTTACCTGGGCCCTTGTGGCACAGATAGGGGCGCAGCTTCACCAGCCAAATAACCATTTCTGCTGCCATAGGAAGGTACTTTGTCAAATCTGGGAAGCCAGGAGACCCTTTTTTTGGAGCTTGTGCCCCCAGGTCACTTGAGAAGGGGGTGTTTAGAGCCATCCGGTGACTTGGGCTGCAGCGCGCGCTACCCAGGTGCTTTCCCAGCACTTGCCTGTGGAAGGGCGAGCAGCTCACGGAGTAGAGGGGGCCACCGTGCGGGGAGAAGGCGAGTTCTGCCGGGGCCCTGAGGGGCAGGGAGCGGCCTGGTCGCTGCAGAGCCTCAGTCCTGGCTGCCGTGGAGCACTGCAGGGCAAAGCCGCCTTCCACGCCGACAACGAACACGCACGGATCAAAGTGCGAAAAAGAGAGCGACGTGACGCCCACGGCTGTCTCTCCCCACACGAGCTACGAGAAAAGCACCCAAAGCTGCGGTCTGCAGTGGAGCACCCAGGCAGTCCCAGGCTTGGCACCAGACTGGCCGGGTCCCAAGCAGCTTTTACTGCACAGCCCACACTAGCTGTGACACGTGCAGCACTGCTCAGCCTTCAGCCCCTACGGCATCCTCCAGCAAGGGGAGTTGCGTGCATTAATATTACAAGAAAGTTTTCCATCCTAGCAGCTCCTAAAAGCAGCTGTCCCCACCTTTTCTAGAGGTGGTTTCAGTACAAGGGACATGAGGCTTGATCAAGGGTCAGCGTGGCTGGCCGGAAGGCCTTTACATTGCTCTTCTCATGCGAAACGCATACTCTGCCGCTGGAAACTAGGGTTACGTTTTTTTTTTTTTTTTTTTGTCAAATTGGCCCTGTTTGAAGGGCTGAGCTCACCTTCTTGAGCCGAATGCTGCAAGGGATCTGCTGAGCCACAAGGGCGAATCCTTCGGCCAAGACCAGCCGGCCGTCGCGCTCCTCTCGCCACACCAGGATCTTTCCATCTGTGGATGCGCTCAAGAGCTGAAAGTGGTTCCTGTGCTTCCCGGCTGGTAACCAGTTAACCTGCTCCAAACACAGCGGGTTCGGGAGGAGAGGGGCTGTCGGAACTGCCACGCACTCAGCAACCCGCCCCGCTGTCCCTGCAAGACCAGGGGCTGGCCACTAATCTTGGTATCAGACCAGCTTCTATGAGGCACCTGAATACCTTAGTCCCAAAGAGGGTCAAAAAGCACTGCCTTTTTTTTTTTTTTTAAATAAACCCCTTAATTCAGACTAATCATTGGCAAATTTTGACCTTCAAGTTCTAAGCAAACTACCTCAACCCTAAGATCCTAGGGCAGGTGGAACCGAAGCCAGCAGCCTGCAGTAGGAGAGCAGACCTGGAAGTAACAAATGCTCCTGAAAAATGGGAATATAATTTTAGCCTGCAGAAGAGAATCAGCAATTCTCTCAGGTCTGTCAGGAGCTCTGAAGCCTCAGACAAACTACCAGTGAAGTCAGACTGCAAGAACAAACAGTGACCTTTTGTGTAGCTTAAGTTCCTACTAAGGATCAGTCCTTATTTGCTACCTATATGTTTAAAAGACTGCAAATAGTGTTGATTTCTCTGCACCACTGAACAATTACAGCATGGAAATGAGCCCATTCCTCATTTATCCTGAACACCAAGAAGTTATTTTTACAGGTAAAGTGTGTAATTCATAAAATACTTGTTCAGTATCATAGCAGTCCCTTTAGACCTGGAGAAAAAAAACAGCCAATGGAGCCAATCAAGAGAGACCAAAACTGCTGAACTACAGCAACCCACCTGAGAGCTTTAGGGGAAGCATCAGTAATTTGTGCAAGAACTGAAGGAATGAAGCAGCAAGGGCAGCTCTCTCCTTCCCCAGTGCTGTGCTGCGGACAGTCTGTTACCTGATAGACTGGATCCGTGTGTGTATCGTCTGTCATGCCCGTCCTCCAGATCAGGGGGTCTTCTGTTCTGCTGGTGTCCCACACCACCACTTCTCCACTGAAAAGGCCACCTGAAAAGGACGGAAGTGCCAATAAAATATAAGCTCTAGCAGTGCGTAACATGAATTATGCAAAGGGCAGTAACTGTGAATGATGGTTCCTGCTGCTTAGGCTTGTGCATGAGCATGACCAGAGTCCTGGGAGGAGCAGTCCTGAACGGAGGGTGCAGGAACATAAATAAATGTGGAAAGGGGCAGGAGCCTGGCACCCGCACAGGGGCACGGGCAGCTCTGCTGTGAGACAGCACACGGCTACTGAGGGAGTTCGTTCTTCCTGCTCACAACCAGAGCTGCACTGGCCTTTGGCATCTCTCTGCGAGGAGGTGATACCAAGGCAGACATCACTGAAAGGAATGTCCCAGGGTCCAGAGGCAACGACCAGTGATGCATTTAGGCTCACTAGGGAGCATTGGTTCCATTGAGCAAGGAGCTACACTACCCTTATTTTTTCCAAGAAATTTTATGTTGAGCTGAAAGATGCAAGTTACAGGAAATACAGGAACATTTCAAATAGGAGCTAAGGCAAAGGCAACCCACCAGCCACCAGCGAAGGCTGGGAGGGATGGAAAGCCAGGCACATGACCGAGCTGGGAACATCCACCACCAGGTCAGGGCGTTGTGGGTTCAACCCTCTTCTGTCCAGGTTCCACGTACAAACATAGGATTTTTCTGTGCTCCAGTCCCCATCATCCAACCTGCAGGAGAGAAGGCTACAGCTCATCTCGTGGGTTACTGCCAGGGGCTCTGCTATGTTCCATTCAGCAGTGAAGCCTGGGCTATTTTGCAGACAAAAAGAAAACTGAGGTCAAGAGAAGTTGAGGTGATTAAACTTGCTTTTCACACTAGTGCAGCTACAGTCCACGTCAGTGCACATACAGGGCTAAGTGCCTGCAAGCAAATCTCAGCCGTGATTCACTGTTCCAGGACCTAGTAACTGTTCAAGTAATGGGAAGCCTGTGGTGCTTCCCATTTTCTAAAGCTAAAGGTTTCCCAAACAAAGGTACTTTGAGCTAGAGCATCTGAAAAGATGTTCAGACAAGCAAGGGCACTGGTGCCAAGGGCCTATGTGCAGGACCTCCGTGTACTCTGTCATTAGCACCACACTGACACTCGTGTTGTGGCAAGAAAATGATGGTAAGGAGATCTACAGACCAGCAAGTGGCCAGGACAAAAGCAGCCCTTTTGAGCCTGACCTCTACTGCCTTTACCTATTGCTCCTAATTCTTGTACTGAGGCAGTGCTTGAGATAACAAAAAGAGCAGTTCCTCATGCAGGGAATAGCCGATTTGTGAAACTCCCCACCAAGGGACTTTGCAGATTTCAAAAGCAGCCACATGTTCAGAGATTGCATCCCTGCTCACCAAAGGGAAGTCTCCTAAGAGACGCATTATAATCTGAAAATACCTGTAGGTTAGGAGAGCAAAAGGGGCAAGAAACACACGTGTTTCTCTTGTTTTATTCTTCCC